ATGGCCTGTAGATGGCTTGGAAGTCAGTTCTCATAATCTGACAGTATACAGTATAATATACTGTATCTAGACTGGGTAGTCTAGACCAGTGTTTCTCAACCTTGGCAACTTTAAGTTGTTTGGACTTCACCTCCCAGAATTCCCCAGCCAGTGCATGCTGCCTGGGGAATTCTGGGAGTTGAAGTCCACACATCTTAAAGTTGCCAAGGTTGAGAAACACTGGTCTAGACTACCCAGTCTAGATACAGTATATTATACTGTATACTGTCAGATTATGAGAACTGACTTCCAAGCCATCTACAGGCCATAACAGGATGGAGTCTATGTTAGGGAAAAGTGGAAGAGATTACTGATATAATACAACATGCAGTTCTTCTTATAGAGGAATATAGGAAGAGGAGAGAGTTATAACAGAGCAGGGGAAAAAGTAGATTGTAATGCTCATGAAATGAAAGAGTTAATGGAGAATCCCAGTGGTAGTTTCCCAGATTTTTCAGAAGTCCAGGGGCTTTGAAAATTGTACAGTCTGGCATTTAGATGAAATACATTTCAAATCCCTTATTGCTCAAATATAGACTTACTGGTTAGCTTTTGATTATTTTTGCACTGATAGTTTCCACTCACTGATTTGTAAAACTGATGTAAAATTGACCAGTTATGTAGTGTTTCTCAACCTTAGCAACTTTAAGCTGTGTGGACTTCAACCCCCAGAATTCCCCAGTCATGCATTCATTCATTTTAGCTATTTATTCATTTAGCTATTCATTTCGTCTGAAATGAGGGAAAGTATAGCATCTGCAGCAAAGTAACCTTTTCTCCCCCTCCCTGTTCAGAAAGATTAAGCATCATGGAAGTGCCATGTCTTAGTATTTGTATTTGCATTTTTACAACTGATTCATTCCCCCACCTTCACCGCTTGGAAGAACTTCTATGTGAAGGTCTGATATCATGGTCGCAGTTACTTGGAAAAACTTGAATGAGAAGCTACTCAAAGAAATTTTTGAATGAAGCTTGGTGTCAAATTGTCTAGCTGATAACCACTTTTGAGTGCAAGATAATTGCTGTATTGCCATGGAGCTGCCACATCCAGGAATATTTGTTATTTTTATAATCTATTTTCCATTGCCTCCATCTCTCTTAGATGGTTGTGAGCAAATGTAGATAGATATGTAGGACTGCATGTACTATGGATCACATTATTGTATATTATTTTCGTGGACTGGGAGAATCAAGCAATTTTTGTTAACATGCAGAACATTTGGGTAGGTACAAAGGATACCCGGTTACTGACCTGTTTAGGGGCAAGTAGGAAAACTCTGATTGACCTTCTCTGTGAGCTCTAGAATAGCAAAAGGTTAGACTTGCACATGATTTTAACAATATGAATATCAGTATGAATATGGGAAAGATCTAAAGACAGGTCAGAATTATTACAAATTAATGTGGACATGAATTGCAAAGTCTTAGCAAACTGATAGTTTGGTTGTTTGGAAAGCCTTTGAGCATGTGGTATTGCTGTTAACACTGCTGTGTTATTAATGGTTCTTAAAATGAAGGGTGGGTTGTAGATTGTGCAAATGTTTGTAATTCCTTGACTCTTTATGCTCAAATATGTCTCCCCTCCCTCTTTCCTCCACAATTCTAGGAGTATTTGGTGAATGTTACCGTAATAGTGAGCCACGGGCCTACAAACTACTGGTGCGCTGTTCCTACCTCTGGGGTGGAGCCACTATCCTCCAGTTGGCTCACCAGGCTGACGCCCGCCTCTTTTTTGCACAGGATGGTGTGCAGGTATAGCCATATAGAGGTTCACTGAGCTAGGCTTTGAGGGTGCTTGCTGTTTAAGTATGAATAGTGTTGCTAGATTCCATCCTGTATTTGATCTGGATATGGACTACGTCCTTTGGGTCTCTTATAGATAATGTTCAGCAGGGAACTTATGGCCCTCCAGAAGATGGTGAATTATTAATGGTGTAGAAGACTGGGAGATGTAATTCATCTTCTTGCAGAGGGCCACAGGTTCTTATCCCAAGTAACTCTACAACAGGATTGTGTTTATTTAGAAATTACCTGCTTGGGATAGAGCTTTCATGGAATAATATTATATAAGACTGGGGAAGTAATAGCTTTAAAAAAACCAACCAAAACACTGTATAACTGAAAAATGCAGGCTAGCAATTATAGAAGATTAGGAGATACAGGTACCTCTCGCACAACTAGGATCAGCAACTCTGTCACTAAGTGACGTGGTTGTTAAGCGAGACATCATGTGACCATGACTTGCGATTTTACTGCTGGCTTCTCCATTGACTCTGCTTGTTGG